GAGTTCAAACCAAGCAGCTTAGCGGTTGTCTCCCCCTTCAAAGTCTACTGAGAAGTCACCTTTGCTGGCTCAGTGGCTAATCCTCTTTGACATATACACCCCTTGCCTCTGGTATTTGGGCCAAGCAACCAATAACGGAGATTACTTCATCACTTCAGAACACCAAGTCCCTTGGTATTGAGTCAGCACACATGATCCATCAGAAGTATCTCAAGGGAACTCAGTTCCCTCCCCACATGTGCCACATCTAGGATGGCATGTGAAGCATTTGCTGTGTGTGTGATTTTTTTTGCTTCACTGTCTCCTAAACACAAAAGGTAACATATTTGCTTTGAACAATTATGACTGGAACTGTGTGTGTTTATTGCATATCTTATTGAGCTATGGGGAAGAAGGAGAAGCAGTGGAGAATAGTGGATGGAACTAAACTTGGAGTGAGGAAGATCTCAGGTCAAGTCCTATCTCTGACACAAAGTGACTGAGCCAGTTACTGAGCTCCATAGTGACCCAGGCAAATCATGAAGACTTTAGGTTGTATAGATGCCAGTCTAAATTGATAGAAGAATATCCTCACTGGAACTTCCATACAGCATTGAAGTTAGATCCCTACCCACTGCCTCTCCCCTCAGAAAGAGATATAAACTCGATGTCATTTCCATATAGTGTTTGATTTTGCTCAGTAGGTGAGACTCAGGGCTAGTCGTGTCTCTAAATAAGCAGCTAGATCAAATTTTTGGTACCCAAGTCCCCAAATTAGTCCTTCTCTCCAATACTGACTTCAGTTTTAATTTCTTTATTGTCTTGGTTGTTCCGTACTTGGAAAAATTAATACGTGCTAATGCTTAAAATCTGCACTTTGTTTTCAAAAGGAAGAGAGGCAAACGCATCCTGAAATAACGTCACCATTTCCAGAGGAAGATATCATCTTGGTTGACTAAACACACTTTCTTTAGGGTTCAGCATGAATGTGTAATAGATGCATCTCAGATAAGGAAGCGGTAACTTAATGCAGTTATATAAACAGGAAATCAGTAGGGAATTATCCTGAAGGGTATAAAATAAGCCAAGAGCATTCTGTGGGGTTCGTTGCTGTGCCTGCTCTTCATTGCAGTCAGGTATGTATGCATGCAGAAAGGGGTTCTTCTGAAATATAGCTCTCCTCCTCTTACTTGCTTTGAGGGTACATTGGGTTCAATTATAATTCTTAGTCTTTTTGTAACTGAAATCTACTAGCATGGGGGAAGAAGGTGGAAATGTGGGTTTGCAGGCTTAAAAACTCAAGTGACCATAATCTTATGTGTTCAGTGGCCCAGCAAGGTGGGACCTATCATTGGGACAAGAAGATCCTCCTGATTCATTTGGGACAGTGGTCAGCTGGTCTATGAAATGACAGGTGACATTGGATGGTGATGGTGACAGCTTTCTTTCCTCATTTCCATTTTTATTGGTTTTGGTTTTTTTTAATGAAATGAAATCTGAGGTGTGACAAGAATAACTTTGTCAGGGTTCCATGATTTGGGGTTACCTTTGGTAAAAATAGGAATTATAATGTTGGCTTAGGCATTCATACACCTAAACCTTTATGAGATTTAGTGATATAAATGTTAATTCACATTTATTGAGTGCCATCCATATGCAAATGGCTGGGCAAAATGGAGAAAGATATTAGCAAACATGTCAAATAGTGAAGGTGAGATACAGATTGGAGAAAGATGTCAATACAAGATAGGCAATAGAATTTAAGGGAGAACAGGAGATGGTAGGGTATCATTCAAAAAGAAATGACCAATTTCTTCAATTCAGAGAACTTTTAGAGCCAGGAAATTTTTTTTTTAATGGCCTTCTTATCGCAAGGTCTGTGCCACCTAGCTTCCCCTAAGGTCACACAGGGGGCATGTGTCAGAGGTAAAATTTTAACCCAGGTCTTCCTGACTGTGAAACTGGCCCTCTTTCCACTATATCACATCACCTCTTATTGATAGAGAGAAAAATAATGATAGTTCACGCTTGTATTGTGCTTTCAAGTGCTTTTCCTACTACATTCTATGGTGTAAAATATTACTATCCCCATGTTATGGATGCGGAAACCGAAGCTCAGAGTTTACGTTATTGATGGTAGACACATAATTAGCAAGTATCAGAGCTGGTATCCAAACCTAGGCCTTCTGCTTCTAAGTCCACCACATGTTCGCTGCAACAAGGATTACAAGTGTCTTTAGAGATTACCTAGTTCAATCTCCTCATTTTACGGATGAGAACACTGAATCCCAGCTAAATTGAGGGACTTGCCCAAGGCCACGTGACTACTAAATGTCACTGGTTTCCCAACTCCCCGTTCACTTCTCTTTCCCCTACATCATAATGAAGCAGCCCTATCAAAAACTGGGGTGGAGTTTGCTCCAGAATGTGTTCAAAGGTCCCTTCTGGCCTATCAATCAATAAGTTAGCCAGCCTTTATTAAGCACCAACCACGTGCCAGGCACTGGGCTGGGCACTGAGGATACGAAGACAAAAAGGGAAATAGTCCTTGCCCTTAGGAGTTTCCATTCTACTGGATGATTTCACAGCTAGATACATCCAACTGGTCTGTACATGCTCTTTATTCTTCTCACAGCATTATAGAGGGAAGTGATATTTGTGAAGCATTATGGATGATTCCTGGAGAGAAAAGACTTGCTATCTAATTTGAACAGACTGACACCTCAGTTAATGAATAGCTTGGGACTTAAGGTATTTTGGTGAAATTAATTTTCTGGCTAGCTGAGAGATGACTGGAAAACCCCTTTTGTTGACTGACGGCTCTTACTGGAAAAGCTTCATAAAATGGATTGGTTCACTTTCTGGCTTAAATAAGGATAGTAATGACTAGAACTGAATCTTTCACTGATGATTGGGGACCTTGTAGTGCCTCAGGCAATCATTCCGAATTTTAATTATGTTTTGCTTTTTATTTTTTTAAAGAATGATTCCTACATCACATTTATCTAACACTTTTATAGTTTACAAAGTAATTTCTGCATAACAACTTTGTCAGGTGGGTAGTGTAATTATTGTTATTCCCACTTTATAGATGCGGAAACTGAGGCTCACAGAAATTATGTGACTTACCCATAGCATGATGGCTAGTAAAGTGCTGAAGTCATTTCATAAGGTCAGGTCTTCTTACTCCAAATCCAAGGTTATAACGTAGAAGGTGTAGGCTATATGGCTGGGTGTGTACTGGCCCCAGGCATAGTCTATAAATTATTTTTTTCATGAAATCCTTGAAATCATCTTGTTTTCCATCGATTTACCATTTTTGAGTAAAGGTGGGGACATGTAGGTGGTAGAGAATGGGTCACCCTCCATGTGTCATATCAAAATCTTCAGGATAATCCACAGCCATCTTATCCAACCTCTAATCATGATTGTGGAATCCACCAATTTATCTAAAATTTCTAGAACCTATTTACATTTTTAACCTGTGTGAATGATCTCTTGGGGGATCAATCTAATAATCAATAATCAGTAACAGTGTACTGTGCCAAACTCTGGGAAGAGAGACAAAACGAAACAGTCCCTCATTCTGCCATTACTTTGGCTAGTTTACATTTTAATGGGGAAGACAACGTGCATTTATGTATAAAGATATACCAAACACACAGAAAACAAGGATAAGGTAACCTTACTGGGAAAAGCACTAGCAACTGGGGGGGGTTGGTGGTCAGAAAAGGTCCCATGACAAAGGTGGTACTTGAAGGAAATGGGGGACTCTAAGAGGCAGCAGTGAGAAAGGAGATCACTTCAGACATGGGGACCTGCAAGGCTAAAGGAATGGAGGTGGCAGATGGAGGGCTCCCCATAAGGAACAGAGAGAAGACCCATATGGCTAGTCAATAAAGTATACGAAGGAGAGCCATGTGTGAGTAGGCTGAAAAGGTGGGGGTGGGGAAAGGTTATTGAAGAACTTTAAATGGCAAACAGAGGGACTTAAAACTGATCCTCAAAGGTAATAGGGAGCCACTGGAGTTTATTGAACACATTGACTTGGAAAACAGCCCTGGACTTGGAGTCAAAAGGCCTAAATTCGAGTTTCAGCTCCTGCCTAGCGTACTTGGGCAAGTCACTTTATCTCTTGGTGTCTCAGTTTCCTCATCTGTGAAAAAGGAATAAATTGGCATTGCCTAAAAAGAAAAATGATTGACAATATATTCATTTAAAGTTTGCAAAATGCTGTATATACTTTAGCATCATAACAACCTTTTAAGGCCTTATTGGTATCATTATTCCCATTTTACACATGAAGAAACTGGGGTTCAGAGGATTTAAGTAATTTGCCCATGATCTCACAGCCAGCAAGAGGTAGAGTCAGGACTCTCAATGCAGTCCAATAAGCTGATAACCTGTTCACTAATGAGCCACCATCTTATGACAGCACAGAGTCATACAATTTGGATTATTTTCTCCTAAATTAATTGCTTTACATTTAAATCAACTTAAGTGAGGGGTTCTTACTTTTGGGGAGTGTGGGTGGGGTCACAGACCCTTTTTGCTTTCTGGTGAAGCCTAGTTACCCCTTCTCAGAATAACGTCTTAAAATGATTAGAAGAAATGCCAAATTTCAAGTTAGAAATGAGTGAAAATAAAGTAATCATTTTTCTCCCATTCAAGTTCACAGATGCCCTTAAAATTGTCCTCCCCAAAGGGAGTCTTTGGATCTTAGATAAAGAACCTTTGACTTACACTGACCTACCATTGATCTGATCACTCACATAACTTCATGAAGCCTTCCTGCAGTTCATCTTTTATGGCTTGGGATTCCATTTCCCAGAACTCAATCTGCTCTGTGGTTAGGACTTTGCTGAGCTGGGACTGGCAGAGATGGTAGCTACATCTAATAGTAAATTCCTAACCATTAGTAATGACCTTTTTGTCAACATAGTGAGCTTCTAATTGGTGTCTGCATTTAGCTATAGTCTATGTAATAGGTTCATTTTGACATTTTTGTCTTGGCCTTTAGCATGACTGCTCCTTTCCTGATGTCTCTACTTTTTGGCCTTGCATTTGGACAAACGATGTCTTATTGTGTTCCAACCGAATACACCATGCACGTTGAAAGAAGAGAGTGTGCATACTGCCTAACAATCAACACCACCATCTGTGCTGGATACTGCATGACTCGGGTATACTAGAGCATAGCTGACTACTTTTAAGGAATAATATAGACAAAAAAAAAAGAAACCAATGCTATTTTTCATATTATCATATTTATCCATGTTCTATTTTAGAAGCCAATGGATTTTAAGTATTTATTCTGGTTTGGAAGGAGGCTTAGGAAAAATGACAACTGTACTGCTCCCAGTAGGCACCTACTAGGCACACGTACTGGTCTGATCAGCGACAGCTGGACACGCTAGGACTGGACTGCAGCACAGTGATGTCATTTTAGTCCTCTTTGAGAACCAAGGACGACAACCAACCAATAGTAAATTTACATATGATTGTCCATGGTCGTCGTTCAGTACAGTAACGAGCACATACATTGTTCATTTTATATTATGTGTTACCTGCCTATTGGTATCACTATTGATTAATTGTTAACTCTGTGTAACTTGGGTAAATGAATTCACTAATCTGAGCCTCAGTTTCCTCAAATGTAAAATTGAGTTAAATTGGGAACTCTCAAGAACCCTTCCAGTTCCGTTAAGGTTCTAGAATTCCATTTATTTTTACTCTTTAAATGAAATGTATAGCACTTAGGACTAGAAAGGATTTTAGAGAGATTACCTCACTTAATCCCCTCCATTTTACTGATGAGAAAACGAAGATCCAGAGAATAAATAGTAAGTGGCAGAGCCAGGATTCAAAATCAGGTTCTCTTACTCCAAATTGAGTAGACTTTCTTATAACCTTGAGAAGGATGTGTCGAATGTGGATATTGCCATAAACGAGGCCCCGGTCTACCTATAAATAGATCCATGATCTCATTGATGCATGTATCTCCAAGTCTCCTCCTCCTCTACAGCTCTTATCCTTGTTCCCCCTTAATATTCTGCAGAGTTACCCCATGTTGGGATCTTCTCTGGATTTTTTAACCTTGCGTGGGTGGCCTACCTAGCTGTTAACCTTCATTCTTACTATATGATTAATGCACTTGATACTGTCTGATTGATGATGATGATGGTGGCAGTGGTGGCGGTGGTGGTAATGGTGGTGATGATGGACAGCCTGGAGCAGTGGATGGAGAAGAAACCTTGGAATTACAAAAACCCGGGTTTGAGGCATGCCTCTGATACAGACTAGCTGGGTGACATTGGTCAAGTCACTTAATCCTTCAGTAATTGCCCAGTAACCCTGGGTAATTCTCTAAGGCTGGAGGTTACAGAGAAGTTAACATTTTGTATTAGAGAGGGGATCTCCACAGTGAGAGTTCCCCCGCATCATTGAGAGCACAGGTCCAAGAAGACCCCTTTCTTTCCCCCACAGCCAAGACAAAAGAAGAAACAATAGCATATCTTCACACACAAAAGCCTTTGACGTGCATTTTCTCATTGGATCCCTTGTGAAGTAGGCTGGGTATATGTGATCATTCTCACTTTACAGAGAAGGAAACGAATCTTCTCAAAAGTAAAGTGATTTTTCAACACGTTGCAGAGCTACATGATCCTGACACCCAGTTTCCAGTGCTCGCTACCTCCTCAAATGACCTTGTACTATGTCACATTTGTTGGTGTGCATTTTGTAAGCCATTCCACCGCTGACCGCTTGTCATAGAGGACAAGTAAGGTTTCATTTTTGTTTTTCCATCCCCTGCCCTTGCTGCCTGCCTCTACGTCTGGCATGGCGCTCATCATAGTAGGAACATAAATATTTGTTGAAGTGAATTGTAGAATCGAACCCAGGTCTTCTCACTCCTAGTGCAGTAATCTCTCCAATCTATCCCATGAGGAAGTTGAATAACTGTGTTAATTAGGTCCTAAAAGCCTCAGTTCTGTTCACTTCACTCCATATCAGTTCGTGTCTTTTCGAGTTTTTCTGAAATCATCCTGCTTATCATTTCTTTTGGCACAGTAATATTCCATCACAATCATAGACCACAGCTCGTTTAGCCATTCCCCAACTGATGGCCATCCCTCTGATGTCCGATTCTTAGCCACCACAAAAAGAACTGCTTTAAATATTTTTGTACAAATAGGTCCTTTTACCTTTTCTTTTGGATCTTTGGGATATAGACCTAGCAGTGGTATCGCTGGATCAAAACTACGCATTGCATAGTTTTATAGCCATTTGGGCATAGTTCCAAATCACTCTCCAGAATGGTTGGATCCGTTCACAATGCCACCAACCACCATCAGTGTCCCAGTTTTCCCATATCCCCTCCAACATCCAACATGTTTCTCTTGTGTCATATTAGCCGCTTGAGTCAGGAAGATAATAGTTCTAATCTAGCTTCAGATACTTACTGTCTGCCTCAGTTTCCTCATCTGTAAAACGATGATAATAACAACACATCCTTCCCAGGGTTGTTGTGAGGCTCCAATGAGACAATACTTGTAAAGTGCTGGCATATAATAGATGCTACATAAAGCTAGCTATTGTTATTATTATTAATATATCACTTTCAATATGCTACCACCATGTATGCTCAATTTGTAAAATTGCTGTCAAGTGATGATCGCCTTTCTCTTCTCTCCCCAGGACAGCAATGGGAAGCTGTTTCTCCCCAAAAGTGCTCTCTCCCAGGATGTGTGCACATACAAAGACATCATCTACAGGACGGTGGTGATGCCAGGCTGCCCTCGCCATGTCATCCCCTATTTCTCGTACCCCGTGGCTGTGAACTGCAAGTGTGGTAAATGTAACACAGACTACAGTGATTGCATACATGAGAGTGTCAAGACAAACTATTGTACAAAGCCACAGAAACCCTATCTGGTGGGATTTCCTATATAAGAGAGCTGTGCGATCTGCTGGCCATGGTTAAATATCAACTCTACTTCACTTATGTCGACCCAACTTAGAACACCCAGTGATTAAAAAGTTACTGTATTTCATAACAATTGTGTATGGCTTTCTATTTCAGCCCCGTTCCCCTCACCCCCAAGCATGCAGAAACAAGAAAGAACATCAAAGGTTCTTGAAGGGGAGGGGATGGATTGAGCATTTATTAAGTACCTGTCTAAAGCCAGGCACTTTGCTAAGTCTGTTACAAATAATCTTCCTACCAATGCTGGGAGGTAGGTGCTATTACTATCCTTATCACCCATTTGAGGAAACTAAGGCAGGCAAGAAGTTATGTGACTTGCCCAGGGTCACACAGCTAGTATCTAAGGCTGGATTTGAGCTCATCTTCCTGACTCCAGGCCTAGCACTGTATCCACTGCATCACCTTTCTGCTTCAGCTAGGTGAAAAAGAGCTTTGGCAACCTCAAAGGAGTTATATCCTGAGGGGAAAAAAAAAGGTAAAATAATATGAGGCCCTAAGAGACAAGATATCTGTTCATCAGATCAGCCCTGGGAAGGGAGTTGTAGTGGTGAATTAGGATTTTTATTTTATGTGGAGGGGGGTGCAGGTTGAACCCACTGCATAATCCCAGGGACAGAAGTGCTGTGGGCATGGGCAAGAAGGTCACAGCCCTGAAGGAAGCGAGGGGAGAAGAAGGCTGCCACAGTGTTAGGGCTAGGGATGTGACAATGATGCGTGAGGAAGTAGGGCACAGGCAGAAGAAGTAATCCATTACCCTACTTCCTGGCAGGCTAAAACTTCACCCAAGACCAGTAAACAATCTATAAACCATTCTCTCTAATTTAATTCCTTTGGTGGGCCAACTGGCCTATGAAAGTTATACCCCAAAAGCTCAATTTACAAAGCTAGGTAAAGATGCCATGATCATTTTACACGTGAAAGTTTAAATCCTTTATAGTCCTTGGGTAATAGGAGATTCCCTCCCCCTCCAGCATTTATATTAAATGCATCTTGTCCTCTTTTCACTGCTGGTGTCATGAAAAACTCATGTTACTGAGATAGAATTTTAGGGAAAATGCTTAGTGGGAACAGCAAAGTGGCATAGCCCTGAATTACAATCTGAACTGCTCTCAATAGTGAAAGATCTTTACTTGGTACTTGTATCTACTGTTTGAATACATCATGATGATTGTGCACTCCTTTTTTATTTTTATTTATTTTTTTACTTTTACTGGACTTATCTTTTTACCCTCAAGACCTAGCATAGTCTTTGCAATACTGATAGGTGCTTAACAAATGCTTGTTCAAATCAAATGAGATATTATAATAAAAGCACTTTGTAAACCTTAAAGCACTATATACATGTTATTGCTGAATGAATGAATGAATGAATGTATCTGTGCATGCATGGAATGAATTAGATGTAGGGATAGGTGTTGCGGTGCCTCAACTTCTGTGTTTCCAGCTTTGATAAAATTGTGTATTCATTCAACATGCATTTATTAAGCACTTACTGTATGCCAGCTAAAATGCTGAGATGAAAAAGACAAAGACAAAACCAGTCCTTGACCTCATAGTCTACTAGGGGGAAAACAAGTACATAGGTAAGTAAATGCCACGTGTAGACAGGGTAGTGCGCTGGAGAAAGTGATGCATTTAGGGTCAGTGGACCTAGTTCTTACACTTATAGTAAAATAATAGTACCTACCTCCTGAGGTTGTTGTAAGGATCAGATGAGATTCTATTTGTGAAATAATTTTCAAATCTTAAATTGCTATAAAATGCTAATTATTATTATCATTATTAATTATCATTACAGGTGAAGACCCTGAGGCCCAAGGACACACAGTAATAACAATAATGATATTAATAATGATAATAATAGCTAGCATTTTTATAATAATTTAAGGTTTGCAAGATATTTCACAAATACAATCTCATCTGATCCTTACAACAAGCCCGGGAGGTAGGGGCTATTATTAGACCCATTTTACAGATGGGGAAACTGAGGCAGACATGTAGCTAGTAAGTGTGTGAGGCAGGATTTGAACTCCATCTTCCTGATTTTACGTCCAGAATGCTAGACTGCTTCTAAAGTCCCTTCCCGCTCTAAGTCTATCATCCTGTGAGCCTAAGCATGGATTGATTGGGTGTGGGGAGAAGTTGAGATCAAGAAATGCACCATATAGGACGTGGCCCCTGAGCTGGACTTTGACAGAAGACAAGGAATCTTAGAAGCAGCAGGAAGGATAGGAGAGCTTTCCGGGTCTCCAATCCCAGCACCCTGTTGATTAAACCATACTGCCTCTATCAATGACACAATGTCATTTACCTTCAAATTTATGTTGATTAACATGGTTTTCAAATGTCATGAACATGTGCCAGTGGGCAGGATTCAGTACTCAGTTCTCTTCATGAACGTAGAGTCTAGGCTCTTTGGCTTAATTTTCATGAGTTCTAGGCCTGGACTGTTATGTGAAGAGGAGGCATGCACCTCAGGACCTATCACTGTAGAAGCATTTTAATTGTTAGAGTGACTGCATTAACCTGTGTACTGGGAAAATGTGATTTTGAAATCTTCTTTAGGCAATGGCTGTGAACACCAGTACCAGTGGGAAGGCTCCTCCAAATAAGCTTCCCAGGTCCTTGCTGATTCTGGTGGGGGATCTCTTTGAGGTTATTGAAATACCTTTAAATGCTTTTACATTCAATCATCATTTTCGTTGTCTGTGGTTGAAGGTGAAAATTCTTCCATCGAGCTTGAGGTAGATGTGGTCCAACCCCACATGAGCCAGTTGGCCTTGTTCTTTCCTACGGTGCCAGTGTGTGCCAGTAGGTTTCAAAGGGGCTCAAGAGTAATCCTTCAACGCTCCTGGGAAAATGACTCAAGGTCTATGTCCTACTGATGGTGAGTTCACATTGACATCATTTTGTTCAATCATTCAGTCCTGTCCAGCTCTTCATGACCCTGCGTGGGGTTTTCTTGGCAAAGATACTAGAATGGTTTGCCATTTCCTTCCCCAGCTCATTTTACAGATGAGGAGACTGAGGTAAACAGAGGTTAAGTGACTTGCTTGGGGGCACATATCTAATAAGCGTGAGAGGCCAAATTTGAACTCAGGTCTTGCTGACTCCAGGCACAGCGCTATGCACTATGGCACCACCTAGCTACCTCCTATATCTGCTATTACTACTAGGGCTGCAGTGTATGATTTCCTGTTACTTTCAAACTCCTGCCACCGACATGGACATGGCCCAGCTACAACTTAGTACATGAGTCTTAGGGACCAAATGCTTTACACACATTATCTTTTCTGATCTTCACAACATCTTTATGAAATAGGTACTCATTGCCATTCCCGTTTTACAGATGAGGAAACTGAGGCACATAGCATTTAAATGATTTGCCCAGGGTCTCACAGCTAGTAAGTATTCCAGGCAGGACTTGCATCTAAGGTCTTCTTATTGATTATGCCATGCTGTCTCTATTGACACAATGGATTAACCCATTTACAGTGTGTTTATAATTAATGATATATTGACACATTAAAGTTTATATTAATTAACAAGGTTTTCAAAAGTCATGAACCTTAAGAACTTGAGTGTTCTCATTGAACATTCTGGAGTGGAATAGTAAAATTGTTGGATGGCATCTTGCCCTCCCTTGCCACTGGCTGTCAAATATAGACAGACCTTGGCCAATGTTGAAAGACGTGATGTTTGAACTGAACTGGTGCTGATCACGAGAACTGAAAAGTACTTTAAAGGACTTTAAACACACACACACACACATATATATTTATGTATATATATGTTTATATATGTGTATGTATATATGTGCATATATATGTACATATACATATATATGTATGCCACTGTGGAATATAAGGAAGCTTGTCAATTTCTCTTGTTTAAGCACCATGTTGAGTGGTCCCTACAAGGAAAAAAATGCTACAGATGGACCTCATGGGTCACTGCCATGTTCCCCCTACTTTGCAATAATAAGTATATAACAAATATTTTAAACGCTGCATTTTCTTTTATTGAGTATAATCCACGCATACCAGTAGCAGCTAGTTTGTTTTGAATGATTTCCCAATATGGGGTTGCTTAAGTTGAATCATTAAGATGAAGAGGACACTTAAGCTTAGAAGTTACCACTTTACTGGGTAGAGCTCAAGAAGGACCGTCAGGCAATGGCTGTGAACACCCACACCAATGGGAAGACTCCTCCAATTCAACACAATAGTGTGTTGGTGCTGAATTCAGTGCTCATTTAATCCAACCTTCTCATTTTCTATCCAATCTATTTTTAAATAGGACAGCCTTTCTCTCTCTCCTCTCTCTCTCTCTCTCTCTCTCTCTCTCTCTCTCTCTCTCTCTCTCTCTCTCTCTCCCCCCCCCCTCTCTCTCTCTCACACACACACACACACACACACACACACACATACACACACACAAAAGCATACAGATTATGCCCATGAACAGATATAAAAATCACACAAACTATTCAAAGAACCAACAGGTGTTCCCTATGGAAGAAATGAACTTGAGTCAGTAGCAGGTCAGCCACTCCAAAATCCCAGCAAGTCCTCAGCTCTGCCACACAGTTCCTGGGAGTGCCCCCTGTGGTTTGGACTCTTCCCAGAAGGCAAACATGTCTTGGGCTGCTGGATGGACAATTCCCTTCTCTTTAAACCAGTGCTATCCAAATCATTCTCAGTAATACCAAGGAGCTGCAAAGTATAGGTCTTCTGCTTTCCCACCTCATAACCCTGGTCCTTCATCATTCTCCAGTTACAGGGGCCATGTGGGCTATCTTCTTTGTTCTCTGAGAAAGATGACACACAGAAAATCTGCTCACCCTACAAAGTCCCTTCCACATCTTCTGGAACCTGGGTTATTCTTGATGCTACCTCCAAGGTTGACGCTGCTCCCTGAATCTTTCTTCTCTGATCAACAGCTAGACTGTAGGATTGTGCTACCTGGGAAATGAAGATCTCCCTTTCTTTATATAAGAGATTGGATTTAAGAGCATGATCCATGAATTCTCCTCTTGAGCTGTAAACACATAGCAGGGAGGCAAGAAGCATTTATTAAGTGCTTAATATGTGCCAAGGACCGTGCTAAATGATGTGGATATGAATGCAAGCAAAAAGAAAGGTGGTCCTTGGCCTCAAGTGCTTAATCCAGTGCCTGGCATGTAGTAGATACATAATAAATATTTATTGAATTGGATTGAGCTTATGGAGGTTACATTCTAATGGGGGAAGAAAACACGCAAAAAAAGGAGCTGAAAAGCAAGGGGAAGGTGAGTACGAAGGTGAAGCCCTGAGGATCAAAAGCAGAGCCAGGATGGGGATGAAAGGCGGGTTCTTCCTCAAAATGGAAGCCTTTGGAGGACCTCACCAATGGGAGAAGGGGGCTAGAGGAACAGAGAGTTATTTCAGGGCAAGAAAGCCCCAGACACTGAGGGGAGTTCCAGAGTGAGAAGACAGCTAAGATGTAGAGGTGAATTCTAGAGTGTCAGAATCAGGCCTGGGAGGGAAATGGAGTATGGCCAACCTGAGTCTATCTTCAAAATGGAGGAACTCGTTGATGAAAGAAGGGGGCTGGTGGGGCAGAGGGATGTCTGCCTGTGCTGTGCATTCCACTCTTGATACTCCACCACTGCTCTGGTTGCTGTCATTTCTTGGGCTAGGCAAGTCCACCATCAGGAACTCTTTTCTCCAGATGAGCATAAAGATACTGTGAATAGGCACATGGAACTTTCATGTGTTTCTGCCCCACGGTAGCCATTGATGGTTCCTGGGAGGAAGACACTGTTACTAAGCTAAGCCTTCTGCCCCTAGAACCCAGGTCGGCTTTGGTATGTCTTCTGAACAGGGACCTCCTACCCATCCCCCTTCTCTCCTCCCAAAAGGTTCAACTTCCTGATTTTACAGACAAGGAAAATGAAGTCAAGAGAGGTACCGTTATTTACTCAAAGACACAATAGGCAGGGCTAGGAATTGAACTAAAATCTGACTTTTCTGGTACATGCACAATATACTAGGTGAGGGGAGAAAGGGCATGAGAGCATAGCATGTATTTGAGAGGCAGAGAATTGTCCAAGTAAAGTATACAGAGGGGAGTAATATCATATAAAGCCAGATAGGGACAGTGGTATCAGAGTGTGAAGAGCAGGATAAGGAGTTTGAAATTCACTCTATAAGTAACAGGGAGCCACTGAAGATTTTTGAGCAGAAGAGTGCCATGGCCAGATCCAAGGCTATTTCAGTGTTATTACAACTGGATGGTAATGAGGCTTATATGAGAGTCATGAAAATGGGAATAGGGTAGAAAGGCTGGATCTGAGAGAGATTACAGAGACAGAATCCACAGCTTTCAGTAACTGATTGAATGGGTATGTGTGTGTGGAATGAGACAGAGGGAAAAGATAGTGGTAGTGTCTTGGCATACTAACAAAGCAATTAAATAAAGAAGAAAATAATTTCAAATACCTTTGAGCAGAGTCTCTGGAAGGCAGAGTGAGAGCTTTAAGGAAGAGATAAAGGCTCTCTTGCCTTGTCTCCATCATTCTGTAGATAAATATCAGTATTTCTTGCTCATGGCACATTATTATTCTTTGCATGAGGAATCATGTCACGCTATGGAAAGGTCAGGAGACTCATGCATGCATGTTATTGGAAACATAAATTCCATGTAACTTGAGGCATATGCCCTTTAAGAACCTTTGGTCTCTGATTAGGACCACTAACAATTAGAAGTGGAAAGAACCTCAGAGACCACCTAGACCAGGTGTGGGGAGCCTGTGGCCTCGAGGCCACACATGGACCTCTAGGTCCTCAAGTGTGGCCCTTGTCAAAGACAGAATTCCATCTCTGAAATTCTATAATTGTAATTTGGCGTTATGGGATTGGGCTGGGGTGTGGAGCCTGAGGCCACGCGTAGCCCTCTAGTGCAGCCTTTTGACTGAATCCAAACCTCTTGCCTCGAGGCTACAGGTTAGCCACTTCTGATAGGCAATCAACAAAACAATAAGTCAAGCTCTGATTGGTCACATTTACTGATTTCCAAGGGGTAAATGCTTACAGTGAAAACTGAATAAGCAGCTCTTGCAAGCTGGTACATCCCTGACTTTGTGTACTAACACACATGTGTATATGCATATAAACAGATATTTACATACATACACATATGTATATATGTGTGTATGTATGTGCACATATTTATACCTATAGCTAGATATCTCCTAAGACTAACAAAACAGCCTATCGGGGGGAGTTAATCCTTATACCTTCAATATTATTATAAAAGAGTATTTCCATTTCATAGTTGATTCTGATTATGGGCTTGTGGGTAGATACTTACATTAACTGTCCCAAGGAGTGTAAAGTTGCATAGGAAATCAAATAGGAGTCTTTTTTTAAGTCAATATGCCATTAAAGTCTATAGAAAATATATTAAGAAATAACTTACAAAATATTTGGCCATCATCAGGAAGGATGGGTTTTGTGTTTCTACACCAAGGACTTGAGAGAGTCTCTGAGGCTGAGTTTAGATTAGCTTCAGTGAAGAAAAATGTTAAAAAATGTTTTAAATGACCCAAGCACCCTGGTACAGGGCACTCATCCTAGAACACACCCAAACAGGCACCTCTCTAATCTGATGAACCGTTATCACACTCCGAACAACACTCACTTCCTTTAAGGCTGAAATTTCACATACAAAGCAAAAACTACACTCACAGGATTATACAGCTGGAGGAGCCCCCGGATGGATTGGTTCTGTGGCTCAGACCCTCCTGACTCTGGGCACACAGAGAATTCAAAAACCAAGAAGAAACAGTTATCCAGACTTTTCTAATGGGTTTTTCACTCCACAACACTTGGAACAAAGACAGTTACCAAACAAATGTATTTTATTGAAATGAAGATGTTTGTCTTTGGCTTTTAGACACAGTGAGTCAACCATGCCAGTCTAGGCCTTCATGAACTTTCACACCCTGGGTCAGTTTATGGGTGGAATCCACTGATGTCCGTTGTAGAGACATGTATGGAAGAGGGTGACTAGGCTGTGATAGGATGTGAGAGGATTCCAAGGAGGCAAATCTCATCAGGCAAGTATGTCAAAGAGTCCAGGACTCTGCCTCCTCAGCACAAGACTGATGAGCTTGAACGGGCACATGCCAGCCGGCAGATGTCTCCTATCCTGCCATTTTTGTAGGGTTTTAAAAATATCATTGGTTCATTCAATCCACACGTAGTGAATGTTCTCAGCCAAAAAAGCAGGCAGTTTTGATTGTGCCTTCGGGTTCAAACGGCAATGAACAAACTGGTCCAGGGGAGCTGTGCACAGAGAGTTTTTGTGGCTCTGTTCTCCAGGTTCCTGTTCTAAACACCTATGCTAGGAGAAAGTGCTAATTTCTAGCACAAGGAAGCTCATGAGAGAATGTGAGTTTGTAATCTTTCATTTTTATTTATTTTAATTATGGGGGAAATCTTTTGCATTTCTTGACCTACGAAGAAGAGTTTACTAAGTGAATAAATAAGAAAAGAATACAAAAATAATTAGGAAAAAATATGTAAACTCAAGTCCTGAGGTATTTCAAAGGTACAGTGCCGATAAAACACCAAATCTCTTACCCACAACATGCAATGGGCAGATGAACTGACTTTAACTTCCTGTTCTTACTACATCCCCAAACACACAGGAGGGCTCGGGAGAAAAGCCCGTTCAAAGGCGTGGCAGCTGCAGTAGCTCAAACAGGAGGCAGAAAAAGAGGAGGTTGAAAAGTGCTACTGACATATGTTCGAAAAATCTTTGCTTAAAGAGCTAGGGAAGTATCTTGGAATCCAAAGAACATTTAGCATTATAGGGGCACAGGATTGTCTGTGAGGCAGGGATTTGTTTTCAAAAGGTGGGTCATGTGTATATATGCTATATATACAGACACATACACACATCTATACACATTGTGTATATATGTATATGTATATATATATATATAGAGAGAGAGAGAGAGAGAGAGAGTATATATACACATTGTGTATATGTACCTTGCATATACATATGTGTCTATATATACACATATGTCTATACACATATCTATATTTTGTACACACACGGCATAGAATATATTGAATAGCTACATTGTATACACACACATTGGACATGTGCATTACATGCACATACATACAATGTATATACACATTGTATCTGTACGACTGTATATATGCATGCGTGTGAATATACGCATACACTTTAAGACAGAACAACATTCAAATTAAGCTGTCTTTGTTCATTTTAGTTTTGCCACCACGTTGGGCTCCAAGATTCTCATCTATGACCTCCTGGGACCATATATGAGATTACACAAACACAGCACCAATTAATTCCCACAAACTGCAAGGGCCTCATTGTCACCAGAGTTCTGTCTCCTCTCCCCAGGAATCTCTGGGCTCTTACTGCTGGTGTTTGATTTTTAGAAGCTCATTTGCTTTCCCTGTCTTGAACATTACCTTCTAAAAGTGAATCAGAGCTTTTTGGTGGTTTGTTTTTTTTTAAAGCTGGCTATTACCCCCCCTGCCCCATGTGTTCACAGAGAGAAACAGGAATCCCCAGCGCAGGGCTTTCAGCACACCCTGCACATACCAGCTGCTGTGTGGCTGCACATGGGTCTGACAACACGAGGACAGGAAGGCTATGTACCACACTCACATACATGTGCAAACGTACACTGGAAACCAAATCATTTGAGATCTTAATGCCTTTCCACTTTAACAGCTGAGTAAGATGATACCTCTTGTGACATTTAGTGAGAAAGTCCTAGATTTTCAATATCATGCAGGTGGAGTTTTATATTACATCTCTTGAATTACGGATCACGCAGCAGAGGACCATGCTGAATATCATGCCAAAGATCTGAAACAGAAGGAACAGTGTGTTAATGGACAAAACAATGGCCCCAAACTGCCTGAACTTATAGGCAAAGTGAAGAATGAGGTCTGGCCCACCTGCGACTAGCTGGTGAGTGCAGGGACTGGTCCTTTCATCTATTCTAGGACAGGGGGTCTTAACCTTTTCTGGGCAGCTTGGGGAAGCCTATGGACCCCATCTCAGAATCATGCAGTAAATGAAAGACAAAGGAAACCAATCATGTAGAAATATAGTCATAAAAATATATCGTTGTTGAGTCATTTCAGATTCTCCGTGACTCCATTTGGGGTTTTCTTGGCAAAGATACTGGAGTGGTTTGCCATTTCCTTCTCCAGCTCATTTTACAGATAGGAAACTGAGGCAAACAGGGTTAAGTGACTTGCCCAGGGTCAAGTAACTAGTAAATGTCTGAGGCTGGATTTGAATTCACATCCTCCTGACTCTGGGACCAGCACTCTAGCCACTGCCCCATCTAGCTGCCCTATAAAAATATACACATTTTCAAAAATCAAGTTCACAGACTTCAGGTTAAGAACTTTTATTCTGGGCTGATACGGGCATTGAGATTAAAGTTTGTTGTTTCTGGCAGCCATTCTCCTCCTCCTCCTCCTCATAAATAATTGGCAATAATAATACGAAGAGGTTCTATAAAGCAGGAGTCAGAAGATTCTTCTCCTCCCTCTCCTCTGCTCTCTACTCCCATCTCTACCTCCTCTTTTCCCTCTCTTCCTCCTCCTCCTCCTCCCCTTCTTTTCTCCCTACTCCCATCTCTACCTCCTTCTCTTTTCCCTCTCTTCCTCCTCTTCCCTCTTTCCCCTCCTCTTCCCCTTTCCTCCCTACTCCCTACTTTACCTCCTTCTCTTTTCCCTCTCTTCCTCCTCTTCTCTCTTTCCCTCCTCCCCCTCCTCCTCCCTTTCTTTTCTCCCTACTCCCATCTCTACCTTCTTCTCTTTTCCCTCCCTTCCTCCTCTTCCCTCTTTCCCTCCTCCTCCTCATTACTAGGCATGTGACTCTGTGGGAAACACATTCTCTTTGAGCCTCAACTTCCTCTTTTGTAACATAAGGTTAATAGCTTATGTTCGTAAAATACTTTGAACTTTTCAAAGCACGTTCACATACATGTATACACACATTTCATAGGACTCTCACAGCAGCTGAATGAAGCCAGTAACATAGGAATTGTTCCCATTTTACAGTTGAAGAAACTGAGCCTTTGAAAAGTGTGACATTCACAAGAACACCCAGTGGGGGAGGTAGGTCTCAAATTCAGGTTTTCTGAATCCAATTCATAACATCTCACTGTATCATATTTGATGTAGTGGAGTCAGAGAGATGGGTCATCGAGGGTGTGTTGGAACTAATTCATACTGGTCCTTGAGAACTGATTGTTAAATTTTCAGTATGAGCATTTACACCTTGGAAATGGGCAAACACTAAAAGTCAGGGCATTGTTTTGTTGATTATCTAGCCTTAAGAAACTGATGGAGAAAAATATTAATAATGCAGATTAAACTTAAAAGTGTGCCATACACATATTTTTGTTTTTCAGGGAGCTGATTGTTAAATATTTATCAGCACTCCCTTGGTTCTGATCCATACTAGCTGTGTAACTCTGACTAAGTCAACTCCTCAGCCTCAAAGCTCTCTGAAGTTGTAAATTACTGATGAACAGCTGCTCTGTATTGATAAAAGAATTTCACACATTAAGAGTTCTCTACACTGGTAAAACCATAGTTCCAAGACTCCCTCCCCCAAAAACCACCATAACAAAACAAAGCAACGCAAAAAGTGGGAACAAGTGTGCTAAAAGAAAAAGATTTTGTTTATTCGTTTTTGAAAAGACTAATGATGATGTTGATGATAAATGACATTCATATAGCACATTAAGGTTTTCAAATCACTTTTCACATGTTTCCTTTCATTTGTGAAAGGAATTATCATTTTTATAATAATCGATATTATATGTGTAATGAATAGGGTAGATTTTTCAGAATCTCCTCTCTTTGGAGAAAGTTCACAATGCAGCTTAAAATGATCAATCGAACTCTGACAAGCTCTCAATCACTGTCATCCTTGTACCTGCATACCTGAAACGAAGCGAATCAAAGACTCTAGAACCTGTTCCCATCACAGAACTCTGGTCTTATGACCCAGCAAGTAATGACCCCTAAGGACTTGAGCAGTATTGCTCCCACAGGACTCCAGAATTGTTATATTCTCTTCCATTTGTGGGTCTGTCATGGGAAACCACTCTGGCCCTGGAAACGATTGTCTCTTCCCATTGTGATTTATGTATATAAACTCTGTCTTCACTTCAGCTAGGTGGGATTCTGATCAGGAGAATTCCCAATTTGCAAATCTGTTCCTCATAATGAAACTAATTAATTAAATGGCTACCTGATTACAGGCACTTTGTCTCTGGCCTGCTGTTTTGCTATTCTCAGAGATTGGCTCAGTAAAACCTGTTAACACACTGAATCCTCAGAACATCAGAGTGAAGTAAGTAGTACAAGCATGATCAAACCCCTTTTACAGATGGGGAAACTGAGGTTTAAAAGCATTAAATGACTTGCCCAGTGTCACACAGAAAGTAAAAGTCTGCTGTGGGATTTGAACTCAGATCTTTTATACTCCTGCACCATGCTACCCCAATTTGGGGCTATTGCTGGAGGTCCTGAAAATAGGAGGGGCCATCACTTTTTCAACAGTGTTTTAGAAGCTGATCCCAACTCAAGCACCATATTTTTATTTTAACTTAAAAATAACAAAAATGAAAATGACAATACTGTGTGCTCATGACCACTTTTTTTTGTATAAATATCTATTGCCCTCTAAGTATGTCTTGCTAGAGGAGGGTCAGATATTTGCAGTACTAAGGGCAACAGTAAGAAGAATCTTGTTTCTCTATTTCTAAGCTATTGCTAAGTACAGTGGTTGCCTTATAATTTCCCAATGAAATTTACTGAATTCTTGTGATATGATATTCTTACCTCTTTATTTTCTGAGGATACATAGTCAGAATAGGACACTTCCTAGGTGGTTGAATGGATATGGTGCTGGATTTGGAATCAAGGAGACCTGCGTTCAAATCCATCCTCAAACTTTTACTAGCTGTGTACCAAGGGGGCCAGCCTAGCGTCTTACTCAGTCAGAAACTCCTCTCATTGGAAATAATGCTTTGGGTCAGACCACAAAGGGAAGGCTAGAGTCTCCAAAAGCTACTTAAGAAAATGCCTAGAAAAGAGAGCGCTCTGGTAGGGTTGAGTTCCCTCTCTACCCTTCTTTAACTGGCAAAGTATCCTGGTTTTACCTTTTGCCTCATAAAGGGACAAAGAGTTTAGCTCTACAAGGATGGATCAGGATCAAAGATGGTTAGACCCAGAAGGGACCTGCGAGGTTGTCTAAATCAAACTGATGCCTAATGAGGTCATGTGACTTGCTCAGACTGGGATGAGAGAAAAAATGGTCCATTTCTGGCATAAGAAATAGAGCATTAGTAAGTTCTAGGTGGCTAGGGAGTAATTTGAGGGATTTAGGTCTTAGATAATGGTATGGGCCTGGGGCAGGTGTAGGGGCATTAGAGGTAATTGGGAAAGGAAGAAGTATATATCTTCTTGGTTCATTTCTGCAGAGCTTTCCTACCTGTGGCTATTAGGCTGTAGGAGTTACACCAACTGCTTCCTTTATCCCTAACTCCGGGTGGGGGAAGAGCAATGACTTCAACTCTCTGGTCCTCCTAACCCATTCCCTTCAGCCCACGCCTGGTTCTGGTCAGGATCCACAAACTACTGAGTCCAGAACAGGCTAGACATTCCATGTCATGTTCTTTGAGACAATGTAGCGGTATAAGAGAAGAGCCCTGGAATGAAGAGCTGGGTGCCAAAGCAGCCAGAGGGCACAGCCCAGAGCATGTTGGCACTGAAGCCTGGAAATCTGAGTTTAATCCTGGCTTAGACACCTATTAGCTAGGTAATCCTGGGCAAATCACTTCGCCTGCTTTAGCCTCAGTTTCCTCATCTGTAAAATGGGCCTGATCCCTTCCAGCTCTGGACATATGATCCCATAGGATCCCTCTTCTGTGTGTCAGCCTGGGTTTAACCAGTTTGGATTTCGGTTTCCTTTCATTTGTAAAAGGGGGCTAATAACACTGGGGCAATTTCCTAGGCTGCTGTGAGGAAAGTGCTTTGTAAACCTGGAATGGCCACATAAATTTGAGTGGTTACATTATTATTTGAGAACAGAAGTTGGAGGAAGGGAGTGATGGCATGAGAACAATTGCAAGGCTCACGGCCAGCTGGACCTCGGGCTCTCCTTCTATGCAACTGCATGGCTGGGGAGACATCTGTCGACTGCCTCGCTCACCACATACATTTCCAGCTGGTTGTTGCTGAGTCGTTTCAGTTGCGTCCAATTCTCCATGACCCCATTTGGTTTTTCTTGGCAAAGATACTGCAGTGGTTTTCCATGTCCTTGTCCAGCTCATTTTACAGATGAGAAAACTGAGGCACACAGGGTTAAGTGACTTGCCCAGGATCACACAGCTAGTAAGTGTCTGAGGCTACATTTGAACTCAGGTCCTCCTGACTCCAGACCCCTCACTGTATCCACTGAGCCACCTAGCTGCCCGAGATGTCCAACTATACATTTAATAATAATAATAATAATAATAATAATAATAATAATAATAACAACTACAATAACTAATATTTATATGATGTTAAGTATGCACTGGGCGCTGTGCTAAACACATTACAATTATTATCTCATTTGATCCTCACAACAACCCTGGGAAATAGAGGCTATTTAAGAGATTGAAGGCTTGACCTCCTTGGCATCCACCTCAGCTAGGAGACATTGGGTAATTTGCTGCCCCAGCCGGCCCCTGACTATAACCTAATTCTTGGGAAACTCTAAGAACTCCTTAAAATGTAGGATCAAGACACCCTCTCCAGCCTATTACTGCCAAAGGAGTGGTGGGTAGAGGCATGGGTTAAGGGCTTCCCCACCCCTGAGATCTATGGGATTGATGGGAAGCACCATTAGATAACTAAATGGGAATGGAATGGAACAAACAATCCCATACCTCTTGGAAATCTACAGAATGAACAGCCTAGGCTGGGGGACTGGGAGAGGGTCTCATCCTGCCAGAGGGGAGCTTGACCTACAGGTCCCACTGCTTTACACTCTCTATCCTATGAGGCAGAGATTTACTGACTCACCAAGGAAGGCTACCGGGAGCTGGGTAAAGAATTACAGCTTTTATCAAGATTAAAAACTTGGAGTGTGCTTAGCTTTAATTACAGGTGGGAAGGATTAGTCTGATACTATGTTGCCTTGACAGTCAAAAGAGGCACAGAGTTGGAAGGCACATGGTCAGTTTTCTGGTGCTGGATTTCTAGAACGAGTAGCTATAGAGATGGTGGATGTGCTTATGCAAGACTGGGCTATGGTTATTAATTACTAATAACATTAATGATGATAATAGCTAGCATTTATATAGCACTTTAAGGTTTGCAAAGCATTTTACATGTGTTATCTCATTTGAACCTCATAACAATCCTGGAAGGCAATTATTACTATTTTTATAATAGTTATTATAAATATGCTATTATTACCCCTATTGTATAGAGGAGGAAACTGAGACACAGAGAGGTTAAGGAACTTGCCCAGGTTCACAGAGTTAGTAATTATTTGAAGCAGAATTTGAACTCAGATCTTCCTGACTCCAAATCTCCACTGTACTGTATGTAGCTGTGCTGTAGCTGCCTAGTTTGAGGTGAGTACCACAGGACTGTGGATTGGCACATCAAATCTGCCTTGTTCTTTAAAAAGCCCAGGGAACAAGAGCCATGACAAATTATCCTGGACTCATCACTAATCCCTTGCTTGGAAAGCTCTCCCAGGACACAGTCATAACCCAACTGAATACTACATGGGCTAAATGATCTGGGGCAGAAGGAGCTTGGATCACTCCTCAAGAAACACGAGATGGGCGACTAGAACGTTTTTCTCACCGTGACGCCAGCTATTCCAATCCCGACGATCCCAATGAGCTGGAGTTTAGCACTGATCACGTTCTCAATCTCATCTATACAGTTCTGTTTTGAAAGAAGATGGTTATTACAGTGGATTCTTTTTTCTCAAGGTGTCTTCTGATTGATTCATTAGTCTGACTTATTTTCTTTTCCTTTCCACAGAACATCAGATAATAAGCAGTAAAGCTCTGCCTAGCTATCCCCCATACCTCAATTCACCAGGAACTTTTGTTCACCCTTCAACCCACTCCTCCGGGACAGTACAGTCACTAGAAGCATCCTTACAGGTCGCACAACCAGCAAGTGTTTGAGGCAGGATTTGAAGCCAGTCCTTGTAATTCTAGGTTTAGGACTTTGCCCCCTACACCAGATAGCTTCTCAACATTACTGGAAACATGTGCCTTCATCACTCTCCAGGATGATAATATTTCTTTTATTCATCAAACAAGTGAGGGTGTGGGTGATTTCCCAGAGCCACAGAGCTAAGCTCTGAACCCTTCTTTTCTCTGTCTGAATGTACACTCTCCTCCTCCTTTACATCAACAGTAGATGGAAAGACAAAGAAAACCTTACTTTGTGTTCGAGGAGCTCCCTTGGGCATGTCGATTGGACCTGATCAGGGCTTTCTTTTCCACAGCATAGAAACTAGAAGGGTTCAGAAAAGAGAGTTTAAGATAAGACAGAGAGGAGCAAAGAAGAGAAGTGTGGGCATTTTTAAGAATAACCAGAGAGCTTACTCAAACACAGGAACTACTGTTCAAATAATTATGTCTGAAAAGAGGAGGAAAATTAGGATCAAATAAAAAACCTACTGGAATTCTGGTTGTCCCGACCCCATGGGAAAAGCAAAAGCCTCCATTTCACTGCATTAAAGAGAAAAAAAGGATTTTCAGAAGTAATCGTGGAACTGGATGTTCGTAAGTAGTATGAGGAAGCCAAGGAGTCTAGGAAATGAAGTCTTGCTTTATGTGAAAACTGCTCCTTTTAGCTATTGGCAGTTTATTCCTCCCACTCCTTTTAGGCAGGATGATTGGTTCCTGCAGCATGCTTGAGTGTCAGCAAAGCCTTCATTGGCCAGGACTTGGAATGACGGCAGCAAACTCTTGGTATTAGACACTTGGGGCTTGATGCTCTGATCACAGACAGGTGCTGGGTTTCATCATTGGGAGACAAAGGGAAGAATGAAGGGCTATTGGCAGAATGGAGAGGGTCTGTTTGGCACATTCAAGCAGAGGGGCTTCTATACTGATGGAGGGCAGTGGGCATTTCGCCTTATCATTCCAGAGAATTTATAACTAGAGCTATATATCCAGCTGGCCAAGAAATTGAAGTCTGGATGGAGAAATAGGAATCCATTTCTCCTCTAAAACCTTCCCTGTCTAATGCCAGTGACTATTGTTTTCTCTCGATTTGACTTTCTCAGGAGCAAATTTTTAAAGGATTTCAGAATTAGAAGGGGCCTTAAATATCAGCTTGGTGAATCCTCTCATTTTGCTGAGGAAAAAAGAGAGATGAAGTGAGTTGTTTGAGTCACAAAAGGCCGCAGTGGAGCTGAGACTACAACCTATAGTTTACAATTTGTAGCCCCAAGTGCTTTCAGTTTTCATATGTCCACATCAGCATATCCCAAATCAATCACGTCATTTGGGAGTTCAAAATATATTGATGGAATACTCATGCTGATCTAGAGGATAAAACAAGGATGGGAAAATTTGGAAGCAAAATAGAGGAAATTAAGTCTATTTTCATGATGAAATGACCACATGAGTACCTTTCGACATATAATTTAATCTGTTAAATGATATGCTGCTATTAATTATATTCATACATTAGTATATTTATATAATGACTACACAAGACTATATATGTATAACATCTAAATATACTAATGTATAAATATAATTAATACCAACATATCATTTAGCAGATTAAATAACTAAATAAATTAAATAGATTAAATCATAAATGATTTAACAGATTAAATTATCTGCTAGTATTAATTATATTAATTAACATGTTAAGTTATATTAATATATAAATTAATCATAATATAACATAATAGACTGTTGTATAATTATTATATGTAAATGTATAATAGAAATTATATTAACAGATTAAATTATATGCTAGGAGTAATTATGTTAATAATTAATACATGATTTAATAATTTTAAAAATTGGGAGGATGGATATTGCTAGAGTAGAAATTTTCTCTTGGAACCCTGTTCCATTCCTGTGTAACACCAGGCTTCCACAAGAACATAGCTTGGGAATCTCTGGGCTCTTATAATTTGTACTGCTGTAGAGGTCTCACTTGTAGTCTGAGATCTTTCTAGAGTGCATTTTCTTAGATCCTCATTAGACTGAGGGCAGTGACAGACTGACTAGGTTTCTTGCTCTCTTTTTCCCCAGTGCATAGGACAAGATTCTGCACATAGAGGGCGCTCAATTAATGGCAAAGTTTATTTGCTGACCTGCTATTTTTTTCCCCCTCCATTCACAAGTCAGGTTGATTTTGGAAGACCTAGTTCAGGGACAATCTTCTGAAATGAGGTCAGTTAAGATGGAAAAAAATAAATGTAACTACTTACTGATGAGTGGAAAGTGATTAGAGTCTTGTTCATTTTATTTTTAAGGTAACCATTATATGCTTCTTCATACATGGTCTGAACTTCTCGAATAGCCTACAGAAAATAGTCAGAGATAGCAGACCTTGAGAGGCAAATTTCTGATTGTTTCCTTGCCGTCAACGGCAATTCCCAGCTTCCCCCCCCCCCAAAAAAAGAAAAGGCCTATGATTTTTTTACCCTGCTATTCTATATGGTCAACTAGATTTTGTTTTAAGAGGGACAGAATACAGCTTCTGAAGTTGTTGACAGGGCAACTGAAAGTTATTTTGATTCAACAAGTATTTATTAAGTGCTACTAAGTGGCAAAATCTAAGTTGGGTGCTGGGGACATAAAGAAAAAGAAAAAAGAAAGAGAAAGAAAGAAAGAGAAAAAGAAAGAAAGAGAGAAAGAAAGGAAGAAAGACAGACAGACAGACAGACAGAAAGAAAGAAAGAAAGAAAGAAAGAAAGAAAGAAAGAAAGAAAGAAAGAAAGAAAAGAAAGGAAGAAGAAAGAAAGGAAAGAAATAAACAAGCCCTGAGTCGGGTGCTGGGGATGTAAAAAGAAAGAAAGAAAAAAACAGACCCTGCACACAAGTAGAGTACTGAAAGGGTACAAGTGTAAGAGGAAAATGGAGGTGGGAGAGACCACAATGGGAGGCATCAGGAAAGGCTTCCAGGAAGAGGCACTACCCTAGCTAAACCTTAAAAGAAGACAAGGAGAAACAGAGGTGAAGCAGGAGTACATTTGGGGAATGAGGACTAGTTTGTGCAAATGCACAGAGTGGGACATGGAGTATCGAGTTTGGGGAATGGCTAGTACTATGGAAAACTTGGAGTATATAAAGATAATTGGAAGGTCATTATGACACTGAGAGGTGATGAGGAACTGAGTTAAGGTGGTGATTGTGTGAGTGGAGAGAAAGGGATAGATGTGAGAGATGTTGTGGAGGTAGAATCAATAAGACATGGCAAGGGACTGAATGTGTGGAGGGAGGGCATGAGAGAGAGAGAAGAGATAAGGCTAACTCTGAGGTTCTGAACCTAGTTGACTGGGGAAATGATGGTGCCCTTACCAGAAACAGGAAATTTGGGGCACATTAGAGGTGAGATATAATAAGGCCCATTTCTAACATATTGAGTCTGGGGTGCTGATGGCACATCTGGGTGGTTATGTTCAGAAAATGGTTGTCAATTTGGAACTTGAGTCAAGAGAGAGACTAGAGCTAGAAATACAGATGCAGGAGCTGCCTACACAGAGATGATAATCCAACCTTTGGGAGGTGATGAGATCTCCAAGAAAGCAGGTGTAGAGAGCAGAGTAGAGGCTTCAGAATAGAACCCTAGGGGACACCTTCACTAAGGTAGCAAGAGATGGCTGACGTTCCAGAAAAGGAAACTGAGGAATGATCAGGCAGGAGGGAAGAGGACCAGGAGACATCAACATCACAGAAGCGAAGGGAAGAGTGTCCAAGGAGGAATGGGATGGTCAGCAGCATCAAAATGTCAAATGTAATAAAACCTGGGAATGGCCATTCGGTTTAGCAGTAAAGAGAATTTTGGTAATTTGGGCAAGCCAGAGAGTAAAAGACTGAGAAGTGAATAGGTGGTGAGGAAGCAGCAGAAGTGGGTATAGATGATTCTTCTGAAGATTGTCAATGAAATAATGCAATAGTAATAGCTAGTACTTATGTACTGCTTTAAGGCATGTGTTATTTCAGGAAGAAGAGATACAGGACAGCAGCTTGGGAGGATGGCAAGACTGAATGAAGTATTTTTTTTAAAGGATGGGCAAAATCTGAGCATATTTGAAGGCAATGGGGAAAGAGCCAATGGGTAAGCAGAAGATGAAGATGAGTATGAAGGAATCATTGATGTGGCAAGTTTCTGGAGGAGATGGGAGAGGAGATGATGGAAAGCACAACAAAAGGAGTTGGACTTGGCGAGGTCATGGCCAACTCTTCCTCAGAGAAAGGAGCAAAGGAGCAGAGGAGAGGTAAAGGGTATGAGAGTTTTAAAGTATGGGGCCTGGGGAGAAGAGGGAGCTTGTGATAGATGCCTCTACTTTACAACAATCAAAAATAGCTTTCCTGGATTAGCGAAACATCCTAACAGGCTCCTCTCCTTTCTAATAGCTTGTAAGGGGGTTCCTCAATAAAGGAAAAAGATGTTTGCACTCATGAATATAGTACAAAACTTGTTTCCTTGAAAACATTTTCCCCTTCTATGTAAGGCTTGATCCTCAAACTTGCAGAAACCTCAAAATGTCTCCTGATGACTATCCCACCCCCACCCAGGGCTCTATACTTAAGCCAGGTTAGAAACACGTCTACTTTTTAAAAATTACTGCATACAAGATATTTAGCATAGTCTATGTTTTTATAATTCTTTTCATCATTTTTCTTCTCTCATTCTGTCTCACTGCTAATTCTATTCTTCAACCTTATTATGACCTCCAGTCCTTCTATCCCACCCTGTTTTCTAGTCTAGCCTCATTTCTGGACTCCTATTCCTTGCTTTGCAGTCTTGACTTTATGGTTGACCAGTTCAACAATATAGTATGTATCTTTTACACTGAAATCCCTTTTCTTCTTGTCCCCACATCACCACTGCTTGAACCTCGTCAAACACATTCTGAGATTTCCCCACCATTTGTCTCCTCTGCTCCTCCTCATATGCTTCTGAATACTGCCAGAGAAAGTCAAAGGTCATTATGCTGATTTGGTCTACTACAAATTGTTGTTACATGATCTCAATTAGGTCCTCAATGATGTACAAAATTCCTTTCTTCTATAACTGCTATATTCTCCACGTCTATTCCAAATTTTGCCTTCTCTTTTCAAGTCCCGCTATCAGCAGAGGGCTTTGCTTCTCAACTACCTTTACATCACTGATTATTTTCCTCTCATTTGTTCTAGTGTCTGAGGAAGAGGTGGCTTTTCTCCTTACCAAGGCCAACCCAACCTGTGTCCTTGATCCCATCTTGTTATATTTCTTTTGGGAACTTGATCCTTCATTCTCTTTTCCTCTCCCTTCTCTCTCTTTTTCTCTTCCTTTCTTTTTCTGTCTGTCTCTATTTATTTGTCTCTCTCCCTTTTCCCTCCTTTCTCTGCTGCTGCTGACAACTATGCCTAAGTCTCTTTCATCCTTGGAGGGAGGTGGAAAGGTCAAATGAGGGTTTCCATCCCCTCAGGCTACTGTCTTATAGCTCTTCTCCCTTTCACAGCTGAAGTCCTAGAAGGAGTCATCAACAGCCACCACCTTCCTTCAGGAGGCAGCAGTGTAGTAGGAAATTGCTAAATTTGAAGTTAGAGGTTCAAATCCAGGCTGTGCTACTTACCTATCTTGTATGACCTTGGGTAAGTCACTTAATCTCTCTAAACCTCAGTTTCCTTGACTGTAAAATGAAAGGGGGACTAGATGACCTCACAGGTCCCTTCTAGTTTTAAATCTGTAAGTCCATGATCCTTCCCATTCACTTCTCAACATACCTTGCAATCTGGCTTCTAACCCCCCTCCTCAACTGACACTGTTCTCTTCCAAGTTACCAATGATCTCTTAACTGCTAAATCCAATGGCCTTTTTCTTGGTTTGTCATCCGACCTGAGACACTTACTCAGACACTTACTAACTGTGTGACCCTGGGTAAATCACTTAACCCTGTTTGCCTCAGTTTCCTTATCTGTAAAATGAGCTGGAGAAGGAAATGGCAAACTACTGCAGTATTTTTTGCCAAGAAAACCCCAAATGGGACCACAAAGCATTAGACACAACTGAAAATGACTGAACAACAACATGCTACTTGACCTCTCTGAAGCTTTTGGCACTATTGGTCATGCTATCCTTCTAGATACTCTTTCCTCCTTTGATTCTGTGACCCTATTGTCTTTCGGTTCTCCTCTGCCCCGTCATGGCTACTGTTTCTTAATGACCTTTGCTGGATCATTATTCACCTCTCACTTGCTAAGCTGGGCTCTCTCTTGCCTGGAATGTTCTCCCTCTTTACACTAGCCTCTTTGAATCCCTAGATCCTTCTAAGGCTCAGATCAAGAACTGCTTCCTCTTCCCTCATAGCTCAGACTATCCTGTATTCATTTATCTTTGTACACACTCGATCCCTCAGAAGAAGGTCACCTTCTTGGAGATGAGGATGGCTTTATTTTTTGTATCCCCAGTACCCAGGATACAAGCACAAGTATCTGGTATGGAGTCATTGCTTAATAAATACTTGTTGAATTGAACTGAATGCTGCTCAATCTCCCAACTTTTTATGAAACTCAGAGTCACTCTGACTCTCTTTTCTTCCTTCTCCCCTTTCCTACCCTCACAGTTCCTCTTTGGAGTCTCCACAACACCTTGCCTGATATGTTTCAGTACCCATAATGCTTAGGGTGAACTTAAAATCTATATCCCTGACAAAAATCAGACCATTTTTCTCTATGAGAATCCAGGAAGGCCCCTTCTCATTCTTGCCCTTGAGGAACAAGGACCATTAAACAAGAGATCAGAGCACATGCTTCTCTCCTTTCCCCATAATTCCAATCCCTCCTTCATGTTCAGAGTGAGGATGCCTCTGACTATTGCTTATTTCTAGGTTTGATTGTTCCTTGGTTTTTCCACTTCATTTTGAAGGTTGCTAATGTTACTCATATGCTTCTGGGAAGAATTCTTTAAATGCTAACAAGCAGATACTGTAAGCTATTGGCACTTACCATTCCTTTGCCTATAAATGCAAATACTCCAGTGGTTACCTCTGCAGCAAAGATCACCAGTAGGCAGGTGAAAAACTGCAGAGAGGAAATATTGATCTCATTAGTTTGGTTAACTTCTTCTTTTACTCAAACTCCATTCCTAAAACACTTTGCAAAGTCGACAAGGGTTGGGACTGATTCATCAGAAAGCACTTGCAAGATGAGTTTCTCTTCATAGACATTAGGGCTTCTTTCTCTGAATTCTGGGGGAGTAGGCTATAAGGTCATCTGGATAGATTTTTGTTTGGGCCCTCTTGGTTTTCCCCAACACAAACTTGGAAAGAGAAATGTTTGATTGTCTCTTTCAGCTCAGGTTGTATGCTTCTGCCAACTTAGATTACATAGCATCCTTTGGACAGCTCCCAAGTTTCCATATCATCACTTTCCCCCAGATGCTATTCCCTGTGTCTGGAATCCTCCCTACCCTCACTTTTACCTGTTGATACTCACCCCCACCCTACACATACTACTTGCTCTGTGAAACCTTCCCTGATTCCCAGATGAAAGTGATTTTCCTCTCCTCTGAGTTTTCAGTCCTTCATGCTCATCTTAGGAACTTATTGTATTCTATTTTGTCATAGCTATCTGTGTACATGTCTTATAATGCTTCTACTCGCCCTGTACAGATAACATTTTTGATAGAAAACTTCTTGATGGTAGAAACCATGATTTTTTATCTCTATTTTCCCTAATAGCTAGCCCTGTGCATATGGTACATAATATGTACTTAATAATGAATGAATTCCTATTCAGACCATTTTTGATTCTTTTAATTCTTGGTGTCTGCCCCACCACCATATATTGGGGGGGGTATTAATATATCCTGTATGTACTTATCTGTGAACATACTGCAAACTCCTAGTAGTAAGCTCTTTGAGGGTCAGAGACCATTTCATTTTTGTCTTGTACCCTCTAGCACCCAGGCACAGTGCCTGCCACATAGTAGGTTCTTCATAATTGTTGAGTGATTGATCTCTTTTATTCATCAGATACCAGCACAGATTTACCCCACTAGGACTGGGTAGAACTGCTGTCATTGTTAAATAGGATGTGGGAGAGAAAGAAGAATGGGGACTGTGAATCAGTCATTTCTGACAACCAGAGATTTGAAGAAGAAAGAACAGCTAAAAACCCAAAAGACTCCATCAGCAGCATGCTATTTTCCAATAATGACTACTGCCTCTCACTCCCCATGGAGCAATACTTTCTCCCTCCCCTGTCACAGGCAGTTCTGAATCCTGCTGCACATTCCCTGAAATCATTTGATGTTAGTTTAAAAAGGAGGCTGCTCACTAAAAAGAGACCTCAAGAGGGACGGACATCTGGCCAAGCTGGTGATTTTATACACTCATTGTCTTGTAAATAATAATTGTGCTCTGGCTGTTATTTATGGAATATCTCATACACCATGAAATACTGCCCTTAAGGAACAACAATTATAATTGCATAGATTTTGTGGGGATTCTTCCTCCTACTTTCAAATCAATGATTTGATTAATTGATTGAGACATAGTCTCCCTGTCTTGCCCAGCCTAGTAGTATGGTGGCTACTCATGGACCCCAGTACTGATCAATGCAGAACAGTTTTCCTGCTCCATTTTTCCAACCTGGGTCAGGTTGTCCTTCCTTAGGTAGTTTGGTGGCCCAAAGGCTAAGCACACCAGTACCACAATTAGTGCAAACATCGAATCAGCTGTAGTCCTAGTTGAACTCAGAACTCTTGAACTCAAGCAATTCACCCGTCTCAGCCTTCCTTAGTAGCAGGGATTACAGGCTTGTGCTACTATACCTGGCCATATTATCTCATTTACTCTCATATCATCCTTATGAGGTGAGAAAACACAGCTATAAGGGAAGAATTTGAGCTCCAGAGAGTATGCATGACCTCCCCAGGCCAAGCAGTTAACCCATGGTAGAGCTAGGGCAGGATCCCTGCACTTACTGATCCGAGCAGACACTGGGACTCTCGCACAGCTCCACAGCAGCCAAAGAATCCCACAGTCATCATCAGGGCACCTGCTCCAACCAGCACATATAGGCCTACCGGAGGAATGAAAGTAGAGGCTTCAGTGAAAGAAGGCCAGAGTGATTTTCAGTATAATGGAAGAAAAAAAGGGTCTGATTCTTGGAAACTCTCAGTACTGTAGATTACTGGTTATCAGCATTGTTTTTTCAGCTAATTTGGTTCAGTGTGTATGTGTATGTATGCGTGTGTGTGTGTGTGTTTGTGTGTGTATGTGCACATGGGTGTTTTGAGAGTGCGTCTCCCTACCTCACTAGTTGTGGGCCTGATCCCACTGCCAATGGGCGTGGAAGCTTTGACCTGCTCCATTTATGACCTGCACAGGTTTGCTGCTCCTTAGTCAGTCTGGTGACCTCCTGCTCCTGGAGGGCTTACCACATCAAGACTGGACTTGTGGAGGATATTCAATTGATTTTCTGTCCTCCTGCAACTCAGGTTTTAGCCTCCCCAACAGCAGGGACTATAGGTGTGTACCACTTTGCCCAGCCAGACTTGAAAAATCCCATAGCACTTAGGAGTTGGAGAGGGCCATGGATCAGGGGCTCGTGGACCTAGGTCTTAAAGGAGTCCTAAGAATCCATCCAGCCCAAACCCCACATTTTACCCATGAAGAAGGGAGATTAGGGATAGGGAAAGGAGATAAGCGAGATTAAGTGATTAGCCTAATGTTACATAGATAAGAAGGCATCAAGCCTGGATTTGAACCCAGGTCCTTTGACTCCAAAGGCAGTGATTTCACTATTTCAACCATGGTACTATGTTGTTTCCATCTTTGGAGATGACATGAAGGAAAAGCAGCAGGGTATTAAGAACAGTTGGTAGAGTGAAGTCCAGGAAAAACAGAGAGAGTAAGGCGGAAGGAAGAAAGAGAGAGAGGGAAGGATGAAGGAAGGAGACTGGCATTTATTGTGTATAAGCACTTATTACATATATGTGTGAGGCAGTGTGCTAAGCACTTTATAAATACTATTTCATTTGATCTTCACAACAATTCTAACAACACGGTGACGTAGGTGCTATCATTACCCTTCTTTTATAGTTGAGAAAATATGAGGCAGACAGAGGTTGAATGACTTGTCCAGGGTCATTCAGCTAGGAAATATCTGAGGTTGGATTTGAACCGAAGTCTTTCTCACTCCAGGCCCAGCACTTTCTCCACTGCACCACTCAGCTGTTTAGAAGTGGGCTTAGAGGTAAAAAGAGGAAAGTAAGAACAGCAAGTGGTCACGGGACCACAGAACGTTGGAGCTGGAAAAGACTTTAAAGGTCATCCAGTACAAGGCTCTCTCTCATTTTATAGATCAGGAAGACAAGGCTACCAAAAGGAAGTTACTGTCACCAGGATTGTTGCCCTCAATCCAGTCAGGAAAGTAGTCCTGCTCCCAAATCCTATTTTGTTGCTTATTGTAGTCCTATGAAATCCACCCAAATCCTTACTTTCAAATGCGATGGATTATTTTATACGAGACAAGTGGGTCATACCATGGGTACAGTGCTAGGCTTGGATGGAGTCAGGAATATCTGAGCTCAAATATGGCCTCAGACATTTATTAGCTTGTGGTCTTGGGCAAGTCACTTAACCTCTGTTTGCCTCAGTTTCCTCAACTATAAAATGAGGATAATAATAGCATTTACCTCATAGAGTTGTTATGAGGATCAATTGAGATAATATTTGTAAAGCACTTAGCACAGTGCCTAGCACACAGTAGGTGCTAGGTAAATATTTTTATATAGCATATAAATGCTAGTTATGCTTATGGCATTTTTGTTTCTACCATCTCCATTGATTCTCACTGCTCTGTGAGGTGGGTAATCCGTCAATCAATAAATATTCATTAAATGACTACTTATGTGCCAGGCATGGTGGTAGGCACTGGAGAAAAAAGGACAAAGATGAATCTCAGTCCCTGCCCTAAATTTTAGATTCTTCTGGGAAAAAACTATGAAGTACATGTATAAGTAAATAGGAGATGCCCGGTGTCCCAAAAGTCTGAGTGCAGCTGTAAATGTTAATGGCTTATTTTTCAGCTGTCGAAGTCTCATTCAGACTTTTGGGAAACTTTGCATCTTATATTTTTCGGACATCTTCTATACAGAAAGTAAATACCCAAAGTAATTTTGAGGGCAGAGGGAGTGTGGAGCAGAAAAGGAGAATGTAGGAGGTGGCCCCAGAGATGAACTTTGAAAGGAGCTCAGGATTCTCAGAAGCAGAGACAAGGAGGGTCCCACTCCAGGAGTGTATAAAAAGCATGGAGACTGGAGATACAATGCTTTTTATAGATGGAAAAAAAAAGATACACAAAAGTTAAATAATTTGCCCTAGGTCACATGGCTGGTGCTATACATTTGACAGACTCAGTTCAATGCTTTTATTGCTGTACCGTGATCGTGTTCTAGTCTCTTTAATGATATTATTAGCTCTCAACTCTACCTTATATTATGCTGGGCTCCCCACAGCACACAGCTAGGCACACAGTGGCTGCTCAGTAATGAGGTGCTGCCATGGAGAAGGAAAACAAAGAAATCTCTGGCCTAGTGTAGCAAGCAGAGCTCTCCGTTGGGATAGTGGTGAGATCAAACTTGTTATTTCCCTTGCTGATGCTTAGATGTAATAACCCAGTGTGGGGGTGGAATAGCCCTCCGCCCGCTTCTCAGAATTCCCGTCATGACTTAGGTTTCCTCTTAAGTCTGTACATTTCAATTGCATGAGTCACCCTGAAGCCACCACAGCCTCTTTTCCAAGTATCCGGGTATAGCAGGAACCTGGCTGTAAGCGTAGGAGATGGGATCATAGGATTATGGGATTTAGAAATGGCAAGGATAGAACTGAGTCTGATTTATAAAAATAAGAGCCATTCCCCAATTGATAAAAAGTCAAAGGATTATAAATAAGCAGTTTTCAGAAAAAGAAATCAAAGCTATCTATGTGGTTCAGTTGTGTCTAACTTTTCATGACCCCATGGACCATAGCATGCCAATGCTGTCCACGAGCTTTTCTTGGCAAAGATACTGGAGTGGTTTGCCATTTCCTCCAGTGGATTAAGGCAAACAGAGGTCAGGTGACTTGCCCAGGATTACAGAGCTAGTAAGTGTCTGAGACTGGATTTGAACTCAGGTCTTCCTGATTCCAAGCCCAGTGCTCTATCCACTGAGCCGCCTGGCTACCTCAAGTTATCTATAGTCATATGAAAAAATGTTCTAACTCATTATTGATTAGAGAAAAGCAAATTAAAACAACTCTGAGGCACTACCTCACACCTATCAGAAATGGCAAATGCTGGAATGGTTATGGGAAGAACAGGTATGCTAATGAATTCTTGGTAGAGTAGAGAACTGCCCATCCATTCTGGAGAATAATTTGGAACTAGACCTATAGGGCTATAAAACTAGGTATACCCTTTGACTCAGTAATACCTATAGGTACAAAAATATTTATAGCAGCTCTTTTTATGGTGGCAAAGAATTGGAAATCGAGGGGATGCTCATCAGTTGGGGACTAGCTGAACAAGTTGTGGCATATGTCTGTGATGGAGTAGTATTCTGCTGTGGGAAATGATGAGGGGGGTGGTTTCAGAAAAACATGGCAAGACCTATATGAATGGATGCAAAGTGACATGAGAAGACCCAGGAGATCATCATACACAGTAACAGCAATGTTGTAATCAGCTGCGAAAGACTTGGCTGCTCTGATCAATGCAATGATCCAAGACAATTCCAAAGAACTCATGAAGAAAAAATGCTATTTATTCCAGAAGGAGAACCGATGAACTCTGAGTACAAATTGAAATATAATTTTTTCACTTTATTTTTCTTGCTTTTTAAAAATTACACGGCTAATACGGAAATGTGTTTTGCATGAATTCACATGTGTAATTGATATGATATTGCTTGCCTTCTCAGTGGGTTGGGGAGGGGTGGGAAGGAGGGAGAGAATTTGGAATTTAAAATTTAAAAGGAAAATAATGTTCAAAATAAAGAAATAATAAATTTAAAAGAATATTTAAGAAAAACTGGCAAGGACCTTTGAGACCAGCTAGTCCAACTGGCTCTCTTTTTGTGGATGGAGAAACTGAGGCTCCAGTATATGCAAAGTAAGCTATATACAGGATAAATAGGAGGTAACTAATGGGGGAAGGTACTAGAGTTAAGAGGAGTTGGGGAAGACTTCCTGCAGAAGGTAGGACTTTAGTTGGGACTTAAAAGAAGCCAGCGAGGTCAGTAGTCAGAATGGAAGCGGGAGAACATTCCAGGAATGGAACAGCCAGAGAGAATTCATGGAGCTGAGAGATGGACCACTCTGACATTTATTTGTTTCTTTGGGGCCTCATGATAATGCTGAGACAGGGCAGGGAGTATGTCCATTTTATAGGTGGGAAAGCTGAGGCCCACAAAGGTTAACTTAACTGCTAGAAATTCAGAGGTCACGTAAATCCCAAGGTTTTTTCTAACCAGCACAAAAACACAAAAGCTGGATGGCAACTTTAAGATGTCAGTCTCTTTCCTTGCAGAATTTTGCTGCCTTCAGCTAAGCTGGCATGTCAAGAGCCTAGTTCTTAATAACTCCTGCCTGGGATTTGCTGATAGCTAAAGCCTGATTTAAATCTTGGAGATGAAGAATTGTAAAGCTGGGAGGGACCTCATCTCTTCCAACTCCCTTGTGTAGTGTCCCTGGCATGTAGTTATACAGCCCCTCTCAAATACATCCACGGGCAAATAAAGGTCTTCTTACCAAAGCCTTGAGCTTGGGAGAAGTCCAATACTAAAATAGTCTGGTGAGCCCCCAAGGAGCAGAGGGCCACTAGGCTGCCTGAAAAGGTGCAAACTGGCCCAATATTGGGATCAGTTGTGAGTACATGTCCAGCCCTAGTGATATAGGGAGACCTAGTGTCAAAACAAACAAACAAATGTGTTTTTTCTCTAATGCAAAACGAGACCGACAGAAACTGCAGAACAATGGTTTGGTTGGATGACAGGAATTTTTAAATCTAAGCATTGGACTTTACATTAAATTTATGAT